CCCCTCCCCCCCCCCCCCCCCAATCTAAATGCTGAACAAGTTCCAGCAGTTAATTTATAGACTCTGGCAAAAATACTGCCCGAATGATATAAAAAAGGAATGTATTTACACGCCTGTGTGGTTAATTTTCGCCTATTGAAGGGGACGGTTGTGTTTGTGTTCATCGTAAAGTCCCGGGCTAGATTTACGTTCCCCCTCCCCCTAAAGCATCCCCTAACTGACTCGACATGATCCAGGTACACTCACTTGTCAATTATAGTAAACCATTACATTAGAATTGTCTTACACACGTGTGTGTGTGGTCAACAGCATTTCTGCTGTAACAACATATGTTTCACGTAAATGTGTAATAAGTAACTACTAACTGCATCGTATTTCTTCTATATCAGCTGATGGTTGGAAAAAAAAATCTGAATGTTTTTGACTAAAGCACGTAGTGGTGTGTAAAATTACTTTTGAATTACATAAAATACGTACGATTTCTTCATTAATTTATCAATGTAACGGTTCTAAGGCGTTAGTTCAGACTGGAAATACAAATATTAAAGTTTACAATTATAATTTTATCGCTATCCAGAAAATGGTCGGTATTCTTTTAAATTTTAAAACGTAAACTATGAGTCAGAATATCTCAGTCAAAATTTGTGACTAGAATGGGGTATTTAAACATCGCCCACAAGAAACACACAGAACTGCTACACGCAATATCGGTATTATAATTTCAAAATGAATAAATATGATGTTTTATGAAGGATCGTTGTGGCAGGGTTTGGAATCTCTGGTGTATCGCCAGTCGGTGATCACACATGGAGACCGCCCTTACGAAGCATCTCTCTCTGTGTGGGACCTTCTACCACCTTTCTCGGTCAGTGTGGTCATCACAAAGGTTAATTTAGCCTGAGTGCATTAATGTGAAATTGTGTCGGCCACTCTAATGGCTGGTTCCGTGCAGTTGGAATGGGGCAGAAGCACGACATTCTATAAAGAGTAGTTCTTAAACAAGCATGTCGTGGTGAACGGTCTCGTCATCCATGTAGGTCAGTGGTCCCCAACGCGGGCGCCCGCCAAGGCTTTTTTTGGGTGCCCGCGTTGATACAGAAAGAGGTTATACTGAATAATGAAGGCCGTTCAACCACGAACATTATAAAATCAAAGCGCAGATCTCAACTTAATGACGCCCATCTTGATGATTGTTTGCGATCAGCAACATCATCCTACACTCCCAAATTTGAAAAACTGGCCGATGAAATGCAGCGCCAAACATCACACTAACTTCCCACTTGAGTAATAATAAATGTACTTATAAAAGTACGTATTTCTGATTGCGTGGTTTTTTGTATCATCAAACGTCGTGTTGTTTTGTGTATTATTTCGTGTCCATATATTATTTGTCCAGAGAAAAGAAAATTTGGCTTTGTTAATTGGCTGGTACCCACCACGATCTCATAAACTCTCAGATGTGCCCCTAGACACAAAAAGGTTGGGGACCACTGACGTACATAGTTTGGAAAAAATCAAGTTACGCAAAATCTAATCTCCGCGGTGAAACTTATTTGTATTAATCGTTGCGATGTCTTACACGTTTACACACGCTAATATTACAATAGAGACTGTTCTAATACTACTCCAACCTGAGATAAAAGATAAATTGCATTGAAGAAGGTCAGAATTCTGCATCTGTATCTCACGAAAATGTTTTACATCGGCAAAAACATTTTCGCTGATTTTCTTCTGAAGGACCTTGTTCCTGTACAATGCGTTAATTATCCAGACAGAAACAGTAAATACACACAAACAATTAAGAACCATTGTTTTATTAACAATATTAATTCAATAATTCATACACTTAAAAAAAGAACAACTTCTATTCATATTGGCCGGAAGTATTGTAAACCTGGTTTTAAGTATCAGTTTACATAATGTTGTTATTTAAACTAATTGAGTTTTCCTTGTTACTGGCTCTTACATCCTGTAATTTATTAAATATGATACACTAAAATGCATTGAGCATGTCCTGTTTAATTTATAATTTCTTACAAATGTCAGTCGTAATATATCGACATCTGTAACAACAGTTTCTGTCAACAACAATAAAATACGTAACAATCAATTACATAGCAATATTAATTATAAGTAACTAATACACGAAAATGTTTGGGAATTTTGTTAATTAGTACTTCTTCCCCCACTAGGTCAGACTAAGACAGGTCCCCTGGTCCTCCAGGTTGGGGGTTGGTCGCAAGGCTAACAACCTTGCACCGTAAAAAGGAAGATGTTTTGAAACCTCGATCAAAGCCTCGGACAGACGGACCTAACGGAGGACCGAATGGAAGAGGAGAATTGAGGAGGCCATGGACCGAATACGAACCGGAGAGCCATAGAAGAAGAAGAAGAAGTACTGTACCAAACACAAGAAGGAATTAACGTATACGCCATTAAGACAGAGGAAAGTTAAATAAAATTCATCATGTCACTGTTTACCTCTTTTGCGACGGGAATAAAATTACTTTTGTGGCACTTCTAAAATACTTTATGGTGGAGTTTTGATATTAAAATAATAGATTGTAAAAATTTTCAATTAAAAATAGAAAGAGTCCACTTTTCTCTCGGATAAACACGTTGGCAGTGCCAGTTTTATCCAGGACACATTAACACACAAGTTGGTATATTCTTCGTGAGCAATCAAGTTTTAAAAATTATTATTATTACGTCAACTGCATCCGGGCGCAAAATGACGCTCTTTTCCAAGACATTCACTTTATATCATGAGCGCTGTACAACTATTGTTCAGTACACAATCTAATTACCATCCCAAAAAAGTCTTACATTTCAATTATTAAACAAAATATACACAAATATATACATACACTCTGTACATATTTTCAATATATATATATATGTAACTTTCCTGTATAATCTATATTTATATATATGAATATAAGCTGACATTATTTATGTGCTATATTACTATAATACATTTATAAAATATCTTGTCATCGTAATGTGCTTTTAGATCAAAACACAGCGCTAAATAAAATGGCTGCCAACAGGACGAAAAAGCCGTGTCAGAGTTCTATATGTCAGCTGCTGCATTATTATATCTAGTGTGGCTCTTTCTTGATAATCTGCCATTTTATGGAATGTATTTAAAAAGAACAACAAAATATACGTGTGTAAATTAAAGTCTGAAATGTGAACATAACCTAAGAAACATATAACAAGATTATTTTACTTATTAGATTTATATTATTTGCTAAAATAGCAAA